GCATCATAATTAGACAAATAGTGGGGTTCATTTTGACATAAACATAAATGCATATAGTACAGTTGGCTCATCCTCAATCCCCAGAACTTCCCCTTTCCCTACCTTCATCCTGCTTCCCTTCCTCTACTCCACTGGTCTTCCTTCTATTTATTTACTCTTTTTTAATTGATCGTTAGAGATATACATAAAAAGTGGAATTCATTGTGATACTTTTACATGCATAAAGCAAGTGTCGGTCAAATCTCATTCCACAGTGGCTCTTCTACCTTCCCCTCCTCCCTTTCTCTTGACACCCTCCCTCCACTCCACTGTTCCCCATTTAATTTTCATGATATTACCCGCAACATTTTTCCCCTTATTTCTTTCCAGGTTCATATATGAGAGATGACATTCAGCCTTGGACTTTCTGGGTCTGGTTTATTTCACTTGACACAACATTCTCAAGTTCTTTCCATTTGCCAGCAAATGATATAATTTCATTCTTCCCTATGGCTGAATAAGACTCGTGTGCATGTRTGTGTCCGTCCCATTTTCTTTACCCATTCATCTCTTGATGGGCACCTAGCCTGGTTCCAAAAGTCGGCTTTTGTACRGTACACTGCTATAAACATTGGTATGCATGGACCACTGTAGTACACTGATTTTAGTACTTTGAGATAAATACAAGGAGTGGGATAGCAAGGTCATATTGTGGCTTCATTTTAACCTTTTGAGGAATTTTCAAAGGCTTTCCAAAGTGGTTGTACTAATTCACAGTCTCATCAACAATATGTAAATATTCCTTCCCATCACCCCACACACACCCACATCCTCACCAGCAACTATTGGTATTTGTTTTGTACTTTTTTTCCCCCCTTTTTGGTACTGGGGATTGAACCCAAGGGGCACTTAACACTGAGCTATGTCCCCAGTCCCTTTTTATACTTTATTTAGGTACAGGGTCTTGCTAAGTTGCTTAGGATCTTGCTAAATTGTTGAGGCTGGATTTGAATCCTCAATCCTCCTGCCTCAGCCTCCAGAGCCACTGGGATCACAGGCAGGCACCACCACACCTGGCTGCTATTTGTGTTCTTGATGATTGCCAGTGTGACTGGAGTGAGATGATCTCTCAGGATAGTTTTGATTTGCATTGACCTSATTGCTAATGATTCTGAACATTTTTTAATACATTTGTTGGCCATCTATGTTTCTTTTGAGAAATGTCTGCATTGATCATTTGCTCCTTTATTGTTGGGAAATTTTGTTTCATGGCTATGAAGGGTTTTTTTTTTTTTTAGTTCTTTATACAATCTAGATATTAATTCCCTGTTGGAAGAGTAACTGGGAAATATTTTCTCACATGCTATAGGATCTCTCTTCATGCTCTTAATAGTTTCCTTTGTTGTGTAGAGCTTTTTAAAATTTGATCCTACTTATTGACTCTTGGTTTGATTTCTCGAGTTTTAGGGGTCTTCTTAAAGAAGTCTATGCCTGTGCCAATATGTTGGAATATTAGTCTATACTTTCTTTTAGCAGTTACAGTGTTTCTACTGTGCTGAGAGCCATAGCCGAGTCCAAATGACGCATGCTATTTTTGCCAGAACGGAGTGGTTGAGAGGTGACGCCAGCAAGCCATTGAGATGATAATGGTTATGTTAAGCTGTGTATAGTAGACCCCTGCTTTGGCCTGCTACTTCGGAGTTCTCGCGGGGATTCCCGGARAGTTCCCATTGGTTGAGGAAGTGCCGGAGGAGGGATTTCCGGTTGGTGGTTCCTGGAGGAGCCRGCGTGGGTGGCGTTCAGGAGGGTTCTGGGGGAGTGTGTGTGTAGTGTGCTGGTGGAGTTCAGAAATAAAGTTTGTTCCTGCTTCAGTGGCTCGTGATTTGTGCCCAGCCAGACTATGACACTACTGTAATCCCTAGGTCTTTGATCCACTTTGAGTTGATTTTTGTATACAACGAGAGAGAGAAATCTAGTTTCATTTTTTTCTACATGTTGGTAGCCAGTTTTCCCAACACCATTTGTTAAACAGACTATCTTCTCTTCAATGTGTATTTTGGGCATCTTTGTCAAGGATTAGAAGACTGTATGTGAATTTGTCTCTGTGTCTTCCATTTTATTCCACTGGTCTTCATATCCTGTTTTGGTGTCAATGACATGCTGCTTTGTTACTATAGCTCTGTAGTGTAGTTTGAGGTCAGGTATTGTGATGCCTCCAGACTTGCTTTCCTGCTCAGTATTTCTTTGATTAGTCTGGGTCTTGTATTCTTCCAAATGAATTTTAGGACAATTTTTATTTTCTAATTCTGTGAAGAATATCATTAATATTTTGAAGGGGATGGCACTGAATAGATAGATCACTTTTGGTAATATGGCCACTTTGACAATGTTAATTATGCCTATCCAAAAAACCTGGTAGGTCTTTCCATCTTCTAAGATATTCTTCAATTTCTTTCTTCAGTTTTCTATCATTATCAGTGTAGAGGTCTTTCGCCTCGTGGATTAGATTTATTCCCAAGTATTTTTTTGAGGCTATTGGGAATGGAATTGTTTTCCTGTTTTCTTTCTCAGCAGATTCATTATTAGTGTATAGAAAAGCTATTGATTTTTTATATGTTGATCATGTATCATGTTACTTTGCTTAATTTAATAGCTCTAGAATTCTGGGGTCTTCTGTCTGCAGGATCATTCTTCAGCAGAGATGATTCGCCTTCTTTTTTACCTATTTGCATTCCCTATAATGTCCTTCTTTTGCCTGATTGCTCTGGATAGAGTTTCAAGAAGTATATTGAATAGTAGTGGTGAGAGTGGACATTCTGGTCTTGTTCCTCAGTTTAGAGGAAATGCTTTCAGTTTTTCTCCATTCAGTATGATGTTGGCTTTGGATTTATCATATATAGTCCTTATTATGTTGAGATAAGTTTTCTTTCCCTAATTTCTCCACTGTTTTTTAACATGAATGGGTGTTGAATTTGGTTGAAGGTTGTATATGCAATCTATTGAAATGTTCATGTAATTTTTCTCCTTAATTCTATTTATGTGGTAGATGACATTGATTGATTTGTGTATATTGAACCAACCTTGCACTCATGGGATGAAAACAATTTGCTTAAGTAATTGTTTTTAATGTTTTTTTGAATGCTGATTGCTAATATTTTCTTAAGAAATTTCACATCAATGTTCATTATGGATACTGGTCTGATGTTTTCTTTCCTGGATATATCTTTATCTTGTTTGATATAGGGTGATATCACTGGCATCATAGAATGAATTTGAGAATGTTCCCTCTCTTTTCACTTCATGGAATAATTTGAGGAGGATTGGCAGTAGTTATTATTTAAAGAACTGGTAGAACTCTGCTGAGAATTCATCTAGTCCCAGATTTTTCTCTGTTAGAAGGCTTTTAATTATTGTTTCAATCTTATTGCTTGATATTTGTCTGCTTAGCTTTTCCATATCTTCTTGGTTCAATGTAGATAGATCACGTGTATCCAGAAATTTGTCAATATCTTCTAGACTTTCCAATTTATTGGAATATGTTTTCAAATAGTTCCTAATTACCTCTGGATTTCAAAAATGTCTGTGATGATATCTTTCTTTTCATCTCTAATTTTGTTAATTTGGATCTTCTTTTTCTTTTGGTTAGTTTGGCTAAGAGTTTGTCAAGCTTACTTATATTTTCAAAGAACCACTCTTTGTTGCAAAGATCTTTGGAGAAATCATTTAACCAACCTGGTCTTCCAAAAAATGTGAAGGATCATAAACTCAGAGACCTCAAGAATCAGGGATATGGTGAATGAAAAAGTGTATTGAAAATAAGCACATAAAACAAAACACACCTCAGAGGCAAATTTAGCCTGAAGACTATCAGCCAAATTGGGACAATGCTATCTTTTATCTCCTTTATTTTCTAGATCCTCATTCTTCTTAGCTATGCCTTTAAAAGACAACGCTGTTTATCAGCCAAGAGCCCACTTAATTCCCCTTGTCTTTTTTTTTGTCTTTTTTTATAACCATATCGTCATACCTCATATGCAACCAAAACCTCAGCCAACAGCSAGTGTCTACTACAGAAAGATAATAAATTCATGAATAAGTTAGTGGAGAGGGCTTATGTCCCATCTGTAAAGCAAGAATAACTCCAATTTTAATTGTATATCTAAGACTACAATCAGGAAATGGCATTCAAAAGACAGTATAAATAAAATCTTCATTTCATTTGACCTTATTGATCCATGAAAAGTTCTTCTCCTCTATTTACTTTATCTACTTTTGTATTGCCTTTTTAATATTTGTGATTAGTATATGATAGGAAACTCTTCAGAATTCACTCTATTTCTCTTTCTCTACCCGGAAAGAGTTTAGCACCGTTTACATAAGTTGATTATGAATTAGAGACCTACTCACATTATTTGTTTTTCAAATCACACTAGTATTTTTGGTGATTGTTTCCTTATAAACAAGAAGTAATATGTTCCTTGACAAAAACACAGGATCATTTTTTCCCATAGGAGAACAAATACACATCTCCTTTTATGAGTCATTCTGCCTTTTAGAAAATTGCCCCTTGTCTCAGAGTCAACCAGAAAACAGGCCTGTGATTCATGAACAGCCTCATCACAGATGGTGAACAAGWGGAAAGTGTGGTGTGACAGCACTAGGTCCTTCAAACTTTCAACCAGTCACATGACCTGGTCTGCAAGGATTGGCTGATGGCTAAGCAATTTTTCTGATGATACAAATCATTAAATATTCATTTCAAGGAAAAAGGCAGGCAGGTGGAAAGAAAATCATCCTACCCCAGGCTGGAACTGCTGCTTCAGGAACTGCTGCTTCAGGAACTGAATCCAGAGTTCTTGTTTCAGTGGGCAACCACAACTCCAGGAAACGTCCTTGTATCCCGAGGGCCATCAGCACCTGGCCAGGGTATATAAAGGACACAAAAGTGGGAGGAAGACATCACACCTGAGAACACCCAACTCCTCTCAAGTMCTCAGCTCCACTCCAATCCCCACTCCACCATGACCGGCTCTTGCTGTGACTCCTGCTGTGGCTCCTGCTCCTCCCAAAGCTGCGGAGGCTGYTGCCAGCCCTGCTGCTGCCGCGACCCCTGCTGCTGCCGCCCCGTGTCCTGCCAGACCACCGTGTGCCGCCCTGTGACCTGTGTGCCCCGCTACACGCGCACCATCTGTGAGCCCTCTGGCCGCCCCATCTGCTGYGACCCCTGTGGCCTGCAGGAAGGCTGCTGCCGCCCCATCACCTGCTGCCCAACGTCCTGCACATCCGTGGTCTGCAGACCCTGCTGCTGGGCCTCCACCAGCTGCCAGATCATCAGTGTGCAGGCGCCCTGCTGCCGCCCCCCCTGCTGCCAGCCTGCKCCCTGCCGCACCATCTGCAGGACCTCCAGCTGCAACCCCTGCTGCAACTCCTGCTGCTGAGCTGCCCAACACATAACGTCAACAGGTGTGAAGAAAAATGCACCAACTCTCGCCACTCCTGCAGGATCAGAGGAGAGATGCAGCCTTCCCAACCATCTGTTCTTCAACCCCTAGCTCAACAGTAACTGCCTAGTTTCCTACATAATTATGCAGCAAATCCTGGCCCTCTTCACAAGCTTTGGAAAAATCTCAGCTGTCAACATTTGAATTCCTGGATATTTTTTTAAAATGCATAAACAAAGATCAAAGTTTCTCTTGAATGAAGCTCTAACCCACTGACTCATCATCTTTTTTCCACTATCTCAAGGGTCTCAGACGGGGTATTTTTTTTTCCAGGATATTATCTTTATGCTGTGAATTTTGCATGGTTCAAAATAAATAAAATTTTATTTCTGGGGAAGCAAATATGTTTGTTTTTATTGTTCTTAATCTTCAAAAGCTCCTTTTGAAAAAGGAAGGATTTTGTGCTATATATAACATAGGAACAGTTCAGGGGCAAGGTCTGTAATGATAATAGTAAATCGAGTAATTCAGATCATTTCATGTGCTGCACATCCATCTTCCAATACAACAAATTTTGTGGAAACCATGGGACTACAGCAGGTCTCTGATGGTGAATGTGACTCATAAATGATTTATACACATGATAAGGGGAAGGAAGCTTAAGGTACAGTTCCATTTGCTTCCCCAGTATAGAAAATTGGGCAGTGATGGATGTCAAATAGTACTTGGAAACCCYGACCCCTGAATGCCCTACACTGAAGCACCCACACTCCCATTCTCTCCATGGCTCTCACAGCACCTCCACCGCCAACTCTGCTTCCAGTAAATTGCTGCTGCTGAGAAAAGAGGGACATATATAGCTTTGGATGGAACCATCCTGATTATGAACTTGACATACATTTTACTCTTTAAAAAATAGCACTGTGAAGGTATTAATCCACATTGGATACGGATTTGTTGTTAGACACGTTTAGCTTGGCAAGGACGACTAATCACGATTGTTCCCCTGAGATCAATGTTTTGAGCTCCCCACATCTAATCTGAAAGAGTTTGGGGAATGTGCTGTTCRTATGCTTAGGCAAACATCCTGCCTGTTGAAGACTCAAGTGAGTAAGCTCTGTGACCAGGGATCTTGATTGAATTTGTCTGCTACCAGATTCCACTGACCTGCACAATATTTGGCACATAAAAGATATTTGGGGATTATTTGTTGAAGAAATACATATTAAGGGTGTCAGAGGAGTAAAAGGCATGACACCCCATGCCAACTCTTGTCTCATTTTGGACATAGGCATTCTTACAATTATACAGTAAGTCACCTCATGTAGAAAGCTTTTTTTTAAAATTTTTTTAAATTTTTTTTTAAAGAGAGAGAGAGAGAGAGAGAGAGAGAGAGAGAGAGAGAGAGAGAGAATTTTAATATTTATTTTTTAGTTCTCTGCGAACACAACATCTTTGTTGGTATGTGGTGCTGAGGATCGAACCCGGGCCGCACGCATGCCAGGCAAGCGCGCTACCGCTGAGCCACATCTCCAGCCCAAAAGCTTTTTTTTTTTTAATGTGGTAAAAGTTTATCAATGAGAAGCCTACTATACTCAAAATATTTACATTTTTAGTAWGGTGTTTTCTCTTTATTAAGGGTCTAATAGTTCACCAATGGATAGGCTTACAAATCAAATTTCTTTCTACATGTTCTTGATCAGCGTTTTTAAAATTCTCTAACTATACTTGTTTTTCTTCTCTCAGATTTTTCCTTCTTGGGCTTTTAGAGACTTCCTTACCTTAGAGTGCTTTCTCAGACAATGCTTTGTTTTCTCCCAAACTCATCATTATTATTGAATTKTTTTCCATGATAACCCCATGCCCTRGTCAACCACAGTGTCTGGTGGAAGTCCCAGTAAGCCTGTCAGGGACTGTGAAAGCAACATGGTCCTGAAGAAGGAAAAAACATGAACCTCCAAGCCCGTATCTAGCTGTAGAGAAAAAAAAGTCAGATCCAAACAAATCAAGATGTAAAATCTACCAAGTGGTTCATGGAATATTTTCCTACAAGTCCTGACAGTTTGAAACAATAGAAAATCATAGCTGGTTTTGTAAGCAGAAATGAGCTCAAGCCTCACACCCAAGGAGGTATTGGAGACACTGGGTATAGACAAGATGGGGGCTGAGATCACTTTCACCTGGGGTCACTACCCAGGCGCTTTCTCACATTGGAAGATGGCAACCTGCATCTGAATTAACTCAGGTTCTTTGATTTTGGCTTTATATTGGTGGCTTTGCTATTAGTGCCCCATGACTATTTAAATTATGTCCTACTATACTATCTCATTAGGGTGTGTTTTAGAATTTTCAGAGGGCTGAGCAGCAGATAATTCTTCCAATTCCTGAGGATATCAGTAACACATAGTCTTTTCAGATGACTCTAAAAATTAGTCATATATCACAAATAACAACTGCATTAAAATAAATACACTATTAAAATTCTTAAATAAATCAGACATTTCTTAACATCTGGGAATGTGGTTCCCACCTCTTACTATTCAGCTCTGTGGGCTTACAATGATCCTGTAGATATCTCTGGAATAAGCATTGGCTCAAACACTAACAGGATACATGCAAGTCACTTATGTAATTCCTGAGRTGGGAAATAATGCCAGCCTAAAAGGAATGTTATGAAGAATAAACTAACACATGTGTTTCATGAAGCATGGTGCTTGAAACATAGTTAAAACTCAATGATATTCAATGAAGATTGTAAATAATAAAATTCACATTGAGACCTCAAAAAAAATATTTTTGATAATTTGGATGAARTGAACAAATTCCTTGAAAAAAATGCAACTTTCCAAAACTGACAGGGAAAAAAAAACAAAGAAAGACAGAATATCCAATATGCAATAAATAAATTGAATCTATCATTTGATAACCTGGGTGGAAAAAAAAAGAAATTCACCTTGTTTTGGAAAGATTTAAACCCAGAAATCAGTGAGCATGTTTCTAAGACAAAAACYACTGATGACACAGGACTAATGCTCCAAAAGTAGATAGAAAAATTCTTCTCTTACTGGGAAAAAAATAAACTTGGCTTTTAAAATATTTCTATAGTATTATTCTCAACTTGTTTCCCCAGAAAGCTTGCAGTAGAAAAGAATGYTCAAAACTTAATTCATTAACTTCCACTGTTAGTAACCCTAAGGGTATGACAGCTACTTCGTACTATCAAAACATCAAMGGGCAAAAGCATCATCAAATTCTAAAGATAATTGGAGACTTTGAAGTTACAGTCATTAAGTTCCTATRTGAACTATAAATAGCAAAATATAATGAATCTCCATTAAAGAAGGGAAACAAATAGAATTTTATGACTACCCAAACACCTAAAAGATGTCTAGAGAACTTATTCAGAAGAAATACACAAAAACAAAGAAATGATCATGTGCCCTGGGGTCATCAGCACCTGGCCGGGTATATAAAGGGCCCAGAGAAGGAAGGAGACATCACACCTGAGAACCTCCAACTCCTCTCAAGTCCTCAACACCACTCCAGCCCACACTCCACCATGACCGGCTCCTGCTGTGGCTCCTTCTCCTCCCAGAGCTGTGGAGGCTGCTGCCAGCCCTGCTGCTTCCGCGACCCCTGCTGCTGCCGCCCCGTGTCCTGCCAGACCACCGTGTGCCGCCCCGTGACCTGTGTGCCCCGCTACACGCGCCCCATCTGTGAGCCCTCTGGCCGCCCCATCTGCTGCGACCCCTGTGGCCTGCAGGAAGGCTGCTGCCGCCCCATCACCTGCTGCCCAACGTCCTGCACRKCYGTGGTCTGCAGACCCTGCTGCTGGACCTCCACCAGCTGCCAGCCCATCAGTGTGCAGGCGCCCTGCTGCCGCCCCCACTGCTGCCAGCCTGCTCCCTGCCGCACCACCTGCAGGACCTCCCACTGCAACCCCTGCTGCTGAGAGCCTATGATAACTAAGGGAGCCTCGGGAGATGGCTGGGTCTATCCTGTAGCCCTTTGGGGCATCGTGAGAGACCACTCTGCATTTTCCTGAGAAGCCCATCCTTCCTCTTTTCCTACTAGCTCTGGCTATGTCTGGAAGACACTTTTCAAACCAATTACTGATGAAGACTCCTCTGTCCTCTTTGGACCCTCACCTAACTCCTATATCACGTTGTCTGTTTCTAATAAACTGAATACTTTCAGCCTAGAATCATGGTCTTTGTAATACTTCCTTCTGCTAGATTGTCATCATCCAGAGATTTTCAAGGCACCATGCAGAATAATTCTCTTAATTTGTTTTCTGAAACAGTCTGAGTAGTTTTTTTCATAATTATGGTACATGGCAAGTACAGAGCATTGTAGCTGATGAGGAAGTTTGAAGTGACCAGTATTCCAGGATCAGCCACCTGAGAATTGTCCTCCAWTGGAGGACATTAGGAGGCCAAATCTGGGTTGACACTTAATTTCTGGCCTGAGGGTTTGTTTACTGAACTGATCCCTGTTGGTACACCACAAAGGCCTGGCAGCTTAGAGAAGGAAGGAATCTTGATATTCTTTTTTCTTTGTGCCCAAGTGTAAACGGTATCCTGGATAAAGAATCTCCTTTTGTGTGTTTGAGATTTGAGAATGWCATTGACAACACCAAGACTCTTGTGAATACTATGTCTGCACATGCTGTCTGGGGCTATTTGCCTTTATGTTCAGAAATTCCACATAAGTGGTATTTTCCAAGAAAATTAATCAAGGATGTCCATCTACACATGTTTATTGAATATCTTTTATGAATGTGGCCCTAAGTTTACCACCCTGAGGGGACACAAAGGAATAAAATGGTGTCCCAGATTCAAAGATGTTATAGTCTATTTGGAGAGATGAGGTATAAATAAGAAAAACATCAAATAATGTATAATATAAACAATTAAATAAAAATAGTTATAAATAAAAATATTTTTATAAATAAAAAATAGTAAAAAAACAGTTGAAGATTATAAACATATTAGGAA